AAGCTGGGATGAAAAATGCAGCATAATAATCGATTAATGCAGTGTCAATAATCGATTAATGCAGTCTGCGCAGAGTTCCTTCAACGCGTAAATAATCGATTAATGCAAAGCTATTAATCGATTAGAATGGTCTGAGTAAACTAATCGATTAATGGGAAGAAAAAAATCGATTATATCAAAGAAGCTCAACACGAAGTAAAACTCAATTAATCGATTAATCAAAAGAATTTAATCGATTAATCAAAACAAAAACTGGGTTAATCGATTAATGTGAGAATATTAATCGATTAGATTTGAAATGATGCACAAACACAAGGGCCCAAGCCAGTTGCGAGATGAGAAGTAAAAAATGTCTTAAAGCGATTGTTTCAGACAAGAGGAATGAGAGACGCTCCTCAAACAAAACCTCTCCTATTCAATGTATTTGAATAAGGGCGTAAAAAGTGAGTCCAAAAATTATTTTGTGTGTCAAATTATGTACACGAAAAAATATTTGAATAAAATATTTTTGCTTACCAAAAATATTTTATAATATCAAAATAAACATTTGATAAATGTTTGACACACTTTTTGTAATTGACTCAATAAAATTATTTTGAACAGTTAAAAAGATTTTTCAACTAACTCAAAAAATAAATATAATTTTTATTTTAACTCTCATAAAAACAATTTTGGAGAGAAGATATTTTTGTCATCCTTACAAAAATTCCTACGACTCAAATAAATAAAAGTCTTCGGAAATCTTCTACTCCTCCGAGTCCTCCGTTAGGCGCTCCGAATGCGTCTCGGACTTCAATAAAATCCTGTTCACCTTCTTGAATACTTCAAGGAATGGCACTTCAAGTCTTCGTGTCTTCGTGTTTGTAGTTGTAGCACTTTGATCTTGACTTGAATAAATTGTGTTTGTCAATTATCAAAACCTGTGAGTCAACACTTAACAACACAGAAAGGGTTGAACTCATGCATTCCAACAAGATTTGGCCTCCAGCGGACCGCTCCATCTTCATAGATCCTTCACATGGACGGATTTGGCCTCCAATGGACCGCTCCATCTTCATATGTCCTTCACATGGACAGATTTGGCCTCCAGCGGACCACTCCATCTTCATAGGTCCTTCACATGGACAGATTTGGCCTCCAATGGACCTCTCCATCTTTATAGGTCCTTCACATGGACGGATTTGCCCTCTAGTGGACCGCTCCATCTTCATGGGTCCCTTAGATGGACGGATTTGGCTTCCAGTGGACCGCTCCAACTTCATGGGTCCCTCAAATGGACGGATCAAGCCTCAGGTGGTCCGTTCCGAGTTGTATAAGTTGATAAAAGTAATAATCTAAAAGAATAGAAAGAAGAGGTCAGTAATTAGATCAAGTTAATGTCGGAACACACTTTGTACGATAAACTAAAGTCGTGTTCATTTCTGACAGGTTTTGATAATTGCCAAACCGCCGTGGATATAAAGAGTTTCGTTGAATAACTCAAGGCGTGAAGAATGGCTTGGAACAAGATCTAAAAGACTCAAGGACAAGATCAAGAATTGAAGACTTAGTCGAGTCGGTCTTTTGTGATCAAAACCGAAAATAAATTCAAGTCTCGGTTCTCAAAAAGTCAAAACAATTTTTTACAAATCATAAAATATTTTTTGTGCATCAAAACAAACATTTTTTTCTTTTATTGTTAAAACCCCTGGTCCTTGCTCAGAACCAAAACCACCTAAGTCGGCGTTCGGCTTTCGACGTTCGGCTTTCGGCGTTCGGTTTTTGGCGCCCGAACCAACTCCGTGGTTTTCAATTTTTTAAACCCTTTTTTTACCTCTGAGCATTTTTAAAATGTTCCCAAATAATTATTTTATAAAAACCACTTTTGTATCTTGGTCAATCGGTCTAACACGTGAAAAACGGTCTCAACCGTACGCACGTATAATACGACCTTAGAGACTTGAGTTTTACCAAACAAGTCTTGTTTTCACTATTTTATACCATATACAATATTTTCCAAACCTGGTTTTTACTTTTGGGAACACTTCGTTTTTTGGACCTCGGTTTTTCAAAACGGATTTCAGCTGGCTAGACTTTAGCTGGGTGATAATCGATTATCACCTTAGTGACAATCGACTATCAGCCCCTGCAGCTTTAAACTTCCAAAGTTCTGAAGCACGCCATAATCGATTATCAATAATCGATTATCAGTCTTTGCAGCCAAAATCCAGAATCTTCTGAGAGGACCAATAATCGATTATCACTTGTTGACAATCGATTATCTGGGTTACCGTTGTCCTCCAACGGATAGAATTTTAAATTTTTGGACAGGGAATCTTTGGATAATCGATTATCAAGCTTTGATAATCGACTATTAGCCTGTGTCCCTGAAAAATTTGTCTTCATCCTGTTGGAAATTCTAGCAACGGGTTTATCCCATTTTGGGCTATAAAATGGCACCCAAATCCTCTCATTTTACACACAATTCTTCAACATTTCAATACTCCTTCATTGCATAAGCATTCCTTTTTTTTCTTAACTATTTGAGAGCCAATTATTGAAGAAATTGTCGTGTTCTTGAGCGTTTAATAGTTCACTCATATCTACTCTTTGTGAGAGTTTTGTCCCTGAGTGTTTAAGTGTTTTCATACACAGGGAGATTGTTCCCTTGTTGTAAACTCGAAGAAATTTCTCTCCCTCATTACCCTATTCCTCTTCGTGCCACTCACCCAGACCATCCCCCATCTCCTTTCTTCTTTTACTCCGTACTCTTCTTCTGCATCTCCTCCCCTTCCTTCTTCTTCTTTCTTCTTCTCCTTCTCCAAACTTCACCAAACTTCTTTCTTCTTCTCCTGCATCAGCTGCAGACCTCACCCCCCCTCCTTTATTCTTTTACCTTGTGTTCTTCTTCTGCGTCTCATGTTCTTTCTTCTTCTTCTCTCTTCTTCTGCAGCATCTGCGTCAGACCTCCCCCCTTTCCTCTCCAATTCTTCTTTTTCGTTTTGATTTTTAATTTCTTTCATTTCTTAGATTTGAGACACAAACTTCATTTTCAATATCTTCAATTTTCTAGATTTAAAAACTAGATTTGATATTTAACTTCTTCAGCTTCATAGATCTAAAACTTAAATTTTGATTTTTTTTAGATTTTAAAAAAAGTTGAAGATAAATAAGGGATGAAGAAGGAGAATAAGGGGGTACGGTCTGAAAAAAGGAAAAAGAATTAGAAAATCGAGAAGAGAAGTTGCCACTAGCAGTTGAAGTTCTTCTCTCATCGCAGTCATCCTCTGGGGTTAATGGGGTTGCTTTGGAAATAATTTCTGGACATGAAAAGTTTGAACAAGGACTAGTTTTGCTTAATGGGGTTGCTTTTGAGAATTATATCTGTTTCTTAGATCTGATTCTTTGTTTAGTCTTTCACCATGAATTAGATCTATTTCTTGGATCTGTGATTTTGATTTTTTGAACTTGATGAAATTCGACAGTGATATCATTTCGTTTTCTAAATTTGATGTTGAAGAAGAATTACTCTGTATATGTTTGGGGTGATAAAAAGCTAGCAGGATTGAGGTTGAGGAAGCATATGGATGAAGGAGACGAAGGTAGTAGGTGAAAGGGCAAAAAGGAAAGTCAACACTTTTTTCACTTTATATTAAAATCGTGCCAAGTCAAAACGAAAAGTTTCAACTTGGATTTTTTTAATTTTTTTTCATTTTGTTTTTTCTTTTTTTTCATTTTATTTTTTTGAACTTCTCATTTTTTATTATAGAAAACAAAAAATTGAAAATGTTTAATTTGAGATAGATGAAGTATTTATTAATTTTTATTTTTATTTCAAACACCTAAAATATTGAAATTTTTTTATTTTCTTTAACACCAAAAATTATTTTAATTTTTATATTTTTCAAAGAGATGAAAGAGAGTTAAAAAAGAAAAAAAACCAAATAATAAACAAAAAATATGAAATTATCATTGTTGTCCTGTTGTTTGAAAAATAGACACTAATACCTTTTTTTTTGCTGGAAAATGACCGGAAAGTGCTAAGAGGGATTGTGTGTTCAAGATTTTAAAACCTCAAAAAGTTTAGAAATAAATTTTAAAAACAAATTAGATATTGATGTCTACTACCTCCGTCCCGTTATATTAGTTCACTTTTGACTTTTGAAACTGTTCATTTAAGCACTTTGACTCATCAAATTCTCTCAATGTGTAAGCCTAAATATAGTCATGTGTGATCTTGTTTGATTTGTCTTAACATATATATTATTAATATAAAATTTCTATAATTTTTTCATATAGAAATTATAAGATAAAATGAATTAAAAAAGTGTATTGGATAGTGTGCGAAAATGAAATTGGACAAATATAGTGGGAAGGAGGGAGTATTTTCTAAGAAGTTGTATAGTACTTCGGCGTTTATTCTTTTAATCCCCACTAAACATATGGTGCACATACAATTTGAGGTATAAAATATACTCGGGTACATCCCTATTGGAAAACACACACAACAGATAGATCGTGCGAGGAATAAATTCGGAAGGAAAATGAAACCTACCAGTAGAAATTATATCATCCTCCTCTTCCTCTTCCAATTCTACCTCATTGTGATCCATTATTACCCTTGGCTCAGCCAGGCGATGGCGATCTCAGAGCGCGCACGACCATCGCTATGCAACGGCTCAATAGCCGATTGCAACATCGTGGACACGGAGTTACTATTGGAGTCGGAAGTTAGCCGGAGATTTCTCGAGGAAATGAAACACATCACGCCCGGTGCACTGAAACGCGACGAGCCTGTGTGCTACAGTGGCGGCCCCGGTAAGCCTTATACACGAAGCTGTGTTCCCGAACCTTCTCACCATTACGATAGAGGGTGTTCAAGTTACTACCGTTGTAGAGATGCTCAATAACTCTGTTTTCTTGTTTCTTATTATCCACGCTGATAAATTCCCGGATCTGTTATGGTTTTTCCTTTTTATTTAAGTGTATTTGTGTGTTTCTTTCTAGATCCGTTCAGATCTTGCCTGGAATACTTGTTTCTTCTAAATAAAGTTGATGTTTTTTGTGTGTACCAAAATATTTTTCTTGTTTCACTTAAATTAAGAATTTTTGTGATATTCATGTGTGTTCTAAAGAATTAAGCTAGGGGTACACCAACATGAGGTACACCAAGTGTACACCAAAGCCAACACAGACACACACAGACACAAAGTGTCTGTGTTGCACAAACATTTTGTGTCTGTGTGTGTCTGTGTTGGCTTGGTGTACACTTGGGGTACCCCATGTTGGTGTACCCTAGCATTGCCTGTGTTCTAAATAATAAACAGACAAATGCTATTTTTGTAGGGTGATTTCCCAAATGGTGAAGATGCTGAAAATTTCTTCCCAAATGGTGAAAATGTGTCTGACATAACGGAATGTTATTTTTGATATGTTAACGGTAAAGACTGTACCGTTAACCTTCGAGTTATTTATAAATAGAGTAATTTACCTAAATAGGACTAAAACATAACGACTTTCCCAATATAAAACCATATGTTTTTATTTCCCAATGTAGGACTTTTGGTTATTATCAAGTAGTCATTATTCAAGTAAATGTCTATCATTATTGGACATTATTCCTTCCACAAGGTCATTATTAAGTCCTATTTAGAGAATAAAAAAGTTTAAGTCTTATATTAGGACAGTCATTATGTTTTAGTCTTATTTAGTGCAAATTTCACTTATTATAAATATTACATTTAATGCTTTCATTCCTTAGATATACGTATTAATTATGAACAGTAATAATATCCTTATTCATTTGATGCGTTACTACTAAAATTAAAAGTATACAAATAAAAGTTGTCGTACATATTTAAGAAATCCACATATCCATATTATTTGTGAAACGGGTGCTCACTAGACGACCGGCATGTGACCTTTGCCTTGTAATTGGTCCGACTAATTCGTAATCAAGACTAGGCCATTCAATTTCATTTTGTAGTCGCATAACACTTTAGAATATGCATCGAAGTAATTCTGAAGTGAAAACACTCGTGGAATGAGATCATCAACCGTAATGTTGCAATAACGACATACAGCGTAGACATGGACACATGGCATGTGCAATGTGGCCCATTTCTCGCAACCGCACATTTTTTAGCCCAGTTGCACGATAATCTCATCATATTAACCGGTAGCTCTAGCATTGACCTCAACAACAACCCGATAAATCCCTTGTTGTGGATGATGGGGGGTAACATGGCAATGCAAATGCTGGTCTTCCATGTGTCTGACCTCGTTCAAAATATATTTTGGGAACTTAAATCCCGCTAATCGCTCATACGTTGTCTTCACAATAGCGTATACCGGAAGAGACCGGCATCCCTTTAGCACGTGATTGTAGCGTTTCGAAAGACTAGTGGTCAAGATTCAATATTGAGCCCCACCATGGGAATAGAGTGTCCACTTCTCTAATGGTAAAGCCAATAACCAGTCATATGTCTTTGCCCGTTGTGACTTAATCTGTTGCATTGTTTGATTAAATTCATAGATATCTAGGGTATTGGCTACATGATACACTACTACAAAAAAGACCTTTTAAATCGAGCCCCACCATGGGAATAGAGTGTCCACTTCTCTAATGGTAAAGCCAATAACCAGTCATATGCCTTTGCCCGTTGTGACTTAATCTGTTGCATTGTTTGATTAAATTCATAGATATCTAGCCTATTGGCTACATGATACACTACTACAAAAAAGACCTTTTAAATCGGTTATTTGGACCCTTTTAAATCGGTTTTGAACCGATGCAAAAGCTAGCGACGCAAATACTCAGGTTATTTTTTGCATCGGTTATTAAAACCGATGCAAAATCACTCCCTAGAAATGGCGCCAATTCTGGGAAGAGGTTTTTTGAATTGGTTATTACCAAAAAAACCAATGCAAAAGCTCCTCTGAAATGGCGCCATTTTTGGGTAGAAGCATTTGAATTAGTTCTGAATCCTGAGTGAATCTGTTCCTGTTTATCTATCCTAAGTTTGGGTACAACATTTGGTATCAAAGCTTGTTGTTAACATCTCTAAAGGACCAAACGCACTTCCCTCACCTTCCTAACCCTTCCTTGTTACTTTATCCCAAATACATCACACAAAGCCTACAAATCAGCCCAACCAAACACCATGTCAAATACCACTCAAAACATAACCAATGAAGAACTTGTGGCTTCAAATGCAGCCCTGCAAGCTCAAGTTGATTATCTAGCCAAACAAATAGCCAAGTTCACTAAACAAAAACTAGCTATGTTGCAATCCAGTGATGATGAAGAAGAAGCTAGTTCCAGTGCCACCATAAGAACTAGAGCTCAAGATAAGTCCGGTTCTGATTTCAAAGTGGATATTCCCATCTTTGAAGGAAAGAATGACCCAGATGAGTTCCTTGAATGGCTGGAAACAGTGGAAAGAGTATTTGATTTCAAAGAAGTATCCGACGAGAAAAAGGTCAAGATTGTAGCCTTGAAGTTTCGGAAATATGCATCTACCTGGTGGTCCAACGTCAAAACCAAGAGGAGTCGAGATTAGAAACCCCCGGTTGATACCTGGCAAAAGATGAAAACTCTCTTGAAAAAGAAGTTCCTACCTACTGAGTACGTATGTGAGAATTTTGCTAGGCTTCAAACGCTTAGACAAGGTTCAAAATCTGTCGAGGATTACACCAGAGAATTTGAAGAACTCTTGCTTAGGTGCAATCTGCAGGAGAATGAAGAACAAACCTTCGTAAGGTATCTTTTTGGCTTAAATACTCAAATAGCCAACACGGTTGAATTACAAGGCTTCAACACTTTTGAAGAGCTCACTAAATTAGCTCTTAAAGTGGAATCCCAAATCAGGAAGTCCAAAGCCACTTTCTCCCGAACCACTTCCTCTTACTCAAAACCAACTTACACTCCACCAAAATCCACCCCTACTACCCAGGGCCTACCCCAAAATTCCAAAACCATACCTCCTTCCAAATCATCCTCCACACCCTTTTCACCTAAAACAACCCCTCCAACCAACAAAAGAGCTCCCGTTTGTTACTGTTGTCAAGGTACCAGTCACTATGCCAATGAGTGCCCGAACAAAAAGGTGATGGCCCTTGTTGAATATGATGATGAAGACTTTGACCACTCTTTGGTTGAAGAAGAAATATCCGAAGAAGAAGAAGAAGAATGTGTTGGCCTAGATGAAGGCGAACTTTTGGTCATCCGAAGGACCTTAAGTGCGATTCCCTGCCCCGAAGAACAACTACAACGAGAAAACATATTTCACACTCGTTGTACAATTGAAAAGAAGGTATGCTCCCTAATCATTGATAGTGGGAGTTGTTCTAATGTTGCTGCCAAGACCATGGTGGAAAAGCTTAATTTAAGCTTGTTTCCTGATCCTAAACCTTACACGATTCATTGCTTGAATCAAGGTAAAGGTTTACGAGTTGATACCCACTGTTTAATTTCCTTGAGCATTGGCAAAACCTACAAAGATGATATTTGGTGTGATATCATACCCATGGATGCGTGCCATGTCCTTTTGGGACGTCCTTGGTTGTTTGATAACAAAGTGCAGCACAATGGTTATCTAAACACTTATTCATTTCTAATGAATAAGAAAAAGATCACCCTCACACCTTTACTTCCCTCCTCCTCATCCACTGTCCAAAACAGCCAAGAAAATCACCCCACTCTCATTTCCACCATACTCCAATCTGAACACCATGAGTTCAATGAATTTAAAAATCTCATCCTCCTTGATCTCGAAGAATCTGAACCCAATATTGTTCCAAAACAGCCCCACCCTTTAGCCAAGCCAATCCTTGAAAAATATACCCATGTATTTCCTGAAGACGTACCACACGGTCTTCCTCCCAAAAGAGATATCCAACACAAGATAGATCTTATTCCCGGAGCTGCTTTGCCCAACAAACCGGTATATAGAATGAATCCTGAAGAAACAAAAGAGATACAGCGTCAAGTGGATGGATTGCTAGAAAAAGGATTCATTAGGGAGAGCCTAAGTCCTTGTGCTGTACCAGCCTTATTAGTACCAAAGAAGAATGGTACATGGAGGATGTGTTGTGATAGTCGTGCCATCAACAAAATTACCATAAAGTATAGGTACCCCATACCTAGACTTGAGGACATGCTGGACGAGCTACACGGTTCTAAGGTCTTCTCAAAAATCGATCTTAGAAGTGGTTATCATCAAATCAGGATTTTTGAAGGAGATGAATGGAAAACCGCTTTCAAGACTAAGTTTGGTCTTTACGAGTGGTTGGTTATGCCTTTCGGCTTAACTAACGCCCCGAGTACGTTCATGAGGTTGATGAACCAGATCCTGAAGCCGTTTATAGGACATTTTGTCGTTGTCTACTTTGACGACATCTTGATTTACAGCAAGAGTGAAGAAGAACATATCAATCACCTCACTTTAGTGATTAAGAAGCTTGATGAAGAACAATTGTATGGCAACCTAGAGAAGAGCCAATTCTTCTCTCAAGAAACTGAATTTTTGGGATATTTTATCTCAAATGAAGGGATCAAAGTTGATGAAAGAAAAACGCAGGCCATACGAGATTGGCCCATACCAACCACTATGCAACAAGTCCGGAGTTTTCATGGCCTTGCTTCTTTCTATAGAAGATTTGTCAAGGATTTCAGTACTATCACAGCTCCTCTCACGGATTTAACCAAACATCAGAAGTTTGAGTGGAATCCAAGTGCACAACAGGCCTTCGAAACTATCAAACTTAAACTAACACATGACCAGGTGTTAGCTTTGCCTAGTTTTGATAAGTTGTTCGAAGTTGATGCGTTGGCATAGGAGCCGTATTATCCCAAGAAGGCCACCCCGTGTCATATTTTAGTGAGAAGTTGAATGACACCCGAAGGAGATATTCAACTTATGACAAAGAGTTTTACGCTCTTGTACGATCTCTTGAGCATTGGAGGCATTATTTGATTAGCAAGGAGTTTATACTCCATTCTGATCATGAAGCACTGAAGTACATCCAAGGGCAACATAAACTCCGACCCCGTCATGCCAAATGGGTCGAATTCATCCAAACCTTCACCTTCTCCATAAAGCACAAGAGCGGGACCCTGAACAAAGGCGCTGACGCCTTATCCCGGCGACATTTATTAATAACGGTACTTAGTACCAAACTTGTTGGCTTTGAAATTTTACAGGGACTATACCAAGATGATGAAGATTTCAAGGAGGCATACCATAAGTGCCTCGCACGGCCCTTTGGTAATTTCCTCATAAAAGACGGTTTTCTGTTTCGTGGCAACCAACTATGTATCCCGAAATGTAGTTTGCGCGAAACAATAATCGAGGAAGTTCATGGCGGTTCTTTAGCTGGTCATTTCGGGATGGATAAAACTTATATGATGCTTCAAGAGCATTATTACTGGCCAAAGATGGAAAGAGACACCGAGCATTTTATTCGACGTTGTACTACTTGTCAACTCGCCAAAAGCCACTCCAAAGCCGCACAAGGAATGCATATGCCGCTGCCCGTACCACAAGCTCCTTGGGAAGACGTGAGTCTAGATTTCATCACCAGTTTGCCATGAACGCAGCGAGGAAAGGATTCAATCATGGTGGTGGTTGATCGATTTTCAAAGATGGCACACTTTGTTCCGTGCCTAACAACTCATGATGCTTCACAAATTGCAGATTTGTACTTTAGGGATATTGTCAAACTTCATGGCATTCCCCGAAGTATGGTTTCCGATCGAGACAGCAAATTCTTAAGTCATTTTTGGATGACTTTGTAGAGAAAGATGGGTACTAAACTCAAGTTTAGTACATCAAGCCACCCACAAACCGATGTCCAGACGGAAGTAACAAACCGAACACTTGGCACCATCCTTCGTGCCATCATCAAGAAGAACATCAAACAGTGGGAGGAATTACTTCCTCATGCCAAATTTGCTTACAACCGCAACCCAAGCAAAACAACAGGCGTGTCACCATTTGTTACTGTTTATGGTGTTAATCCCCTTACCCCACTTGATCTTACTCCAATCTTAACAGATACAAAGTATAGTTGGGAAGCAGAGAAACGAGCACAGGAGATACAAGCTATTCACAACAAGGTCCGAGCAAACATTGAGAAAATGAATGAGCGTGTCAGTGATAAGATCAACAAGAGACGCAAGAAAATGGATTTCCAGCCCGAAGATCTTGTGTGGATCCACCTTAGAAAAGAGCGTTTTCCCTCAAAACGCAAGTCCAAGCTACTGCCCCAAGGATATGGTCCATTCGAAGTTTTAGCTAAGGTCAACGACAACGCATACAAGATAGACCTGCCCGGAGACTATTGAGTTTCAGCCACGTTCAATGTCACGGATCTCAGCCCGTACTTTGAACCCGAAGATATTCTGAGTTTGAGGTCAAACTCTCCTGAAGAAGGGGAGGATGATGTGCCCCGAGATGCTCCTACAAGCATGGAGGCTACGCCACAAACCATAAAACAAATCAAAGGGTTAATATCTAAGTGTTATGATCCTTTTTGGGCTGAACTCATTAACCTTTCGTATCCTAAAACCCAAACCATAACCCTTCTCTTCTAAAGCCTTTCTTGATATTAAACCATTCCATATCCTTCCCAAAATATCCAAAAATCTTTTATTTTCATTTGATGAACAAAATAAAGTCCTTTCTCTCCTTTTTAGCCCTGAACAAAAATGAGGTCAGAAGGACAAACCTTGCGTATTGTTTCTACTTCTTTGTTCCTTTTAATTAAAATAAAACCTTCCTTTCACTTCCCTACATCAAACCCACGAATTTCCCAACTCTTTTACCCAAAAATCAGGCCACATTATGTTTTAATCAAGACAAAATTCAACCCACAAAACAAAAAACAAAATCAGGAAAAAGTTTTCCTTGATTGAATAGTGCTGATTTTGTCATGTTGTTCAAAAACCAATCCCCTTCATATCCTTCAGCATATGGCCGAATTTCCCACTCCAAATATCCATAAACACAACCCCATTTACCAAGGATAGAGATAAAAACATCAAGGAATCAAAACCATTGATTAAATAGTGCAAACTTTGTCATATTATCCTTAATTGTCAAAGTTACAACTTTCCTTGATTCCCTTCTCACATGGCAGGAATTAATGATCCATATTAAGCCAAAAATCCCAGCCTTTTNTTTTCCTGGTCAATGAGTGCTGCCCACTAAGATTAATAATACATGGATATTAATCACATGATTTGTAGGAAAGTAAAGTGTAATTTCCCTTGTTTTGCATTATATATTTTGGCCATGAAGCCTTGTAAAGACATCTCATTTTTCATTATCAATATTACTCTTGAAGTATTCCCTGAATTGGTGTGAAGCTAGTTCAATCCATTTCCTAATGAAATATCTCTAAAGTTGGCCACTTTTGAGTGTGTGTTAGGAGTCTATTTAATACTTTAATAGTGATTATTGTTGTATAAAATAGATAATAGCCCCAAATATATATAAAGAGTGTGTTTATCTCTTACATATTATTTGGTTTATCCTTTATACAAAAACCACAAAACATTTCCGTTCTTCTTTTCTAATTCTGATCCTGAACCTGTAAATAATCGATTATTATTGCTTGATAATCGACTATTGAAGCCCCCTGATTCCTCTTCAAAATCTGCAACATCACACAATCGATTGTCTTGCAGTGTCAATCCACAATCTGTTTCCTCTGAGCATTTCCAGTTGAGCTAAACCCTAATAGTCGATTATCATTGTTTGATAATCGACTATTGAAGTATTCTGATTCTTCTTCAAAATCTGCAACATCACACAATTGATTGTCTTGCAGTGTCAATCGATTATCTGGTTCCTCTGAACATTTCCAGTTGAGCTAATCCCTAATAATCGATTTACCAAATGTGTTAATCGATTATTCCAAAGCTCTGAATCCTAAGTGAATCTGTTCTTGTTTATCTATCCTAAGTTTGGGTACAACACCTGTTTTGAACCAAACACGAAGAAAGAGAATTCACAGCAATTTGGGCGAGATACACAGCAACATTCCAATTTGACATAAATTTCAAATCACTCAAACGAAAAAAAGGAAGATCATATGAATCGTCCCCGAAAAGGCTAAAAAGTTAGGCAATCTAAAACCCTTAACTGCCAAATAATTATAAATATAAATAAATTGAATTAGAAAGAAGAAAAGGGCATTACCCCTTCTATGTATTTGTCCATCGCCTGCACCGCCGTCCAGAGTTTTCTTCCAGAATCTAACCGTTGTCCATGGGCGAGGCTAAAGTGAGCCGCTAGAGTAGTCTCTGCTACCCTGAGCTCTTTGGTCCAACCTCTCTTTGCATCAACTACTCTGATAATGTTTCATGAAGCCTGCATAAAAGGGGAGCAAATAAAGAGAGATAAATGAAAGCCCCTAGATAAACTTAATGATCGTAAAAAATAGAGCAGAGCAATAAGAATAGAACATCGGAGTTTTTAGAAAATCACGCCTCCAATGTCTAGCAAACTAATAGTGTTCAGTACATGATCATCAAAATGAAGTATAACTAATAACAATGTATCATTCAACACCTCAAAGGTCAAATTTTCTATTCATTGTATCATTTTTTATGTTTAACTTTTAAGTGCAAAGAGATGAAAGCTTTATGGGCATAAATAAAGGCCAACATCTTTGAACGAATGTAATGTTTCAACTCTTAATAAACTGGAAGAGAGAGGGGACTTATTAAACAGAATTATAGCAACCCATCAATTTCTCGACATCAGAGACATTTTCAATGCCTTGCTACATCTATCTTTGCACCAAATTATTAAAAGTATGTGACTTATTAATAAACCCGAAGAAGGCCTTAAGTGCAAGGACTGAGTAGCAATCAACGCAGTGAAGGTTTTTTTTCTAACGTTATATCTCCATGATTCAACTTTTAAGTGCAAAGTTGTATCATGTTTTATGTTTAACTTTTAAGTGCAAAGAGATATGAAAGCTTTATGGGCATAAACAAAGGCCAACATCTTTGAACGAATGTAGTGTTTCAACTCTTAATAAACTGGAAGAGAGAAAAAAAGGGGACTTATTAAACAAAATTATACCAACCCATCAATCTCTCGACATCACAATGCCTTGCTACATCTATCTTTGCACCGAATTATTAAAAGTATGTGACTTATTATTAAACCCGAAGAAGGCCTTAAGTGCAAAGACTGAGTAACGATCAACGCAGTGAAGGTTTTTTTCTAACGTTATATCTCCATGATTCAATCTACTTTCAAAAAAGCATCTAAATAACCTGATATCAAAATACAAAATCACAAAGAAACTATAAATATGATACACATGGAGCATCATTAAGCCTTTCTACATGATTTTTTTTCTATACGCAACATTGACACAGTTCAAAAAGTCCTTTCCTGTTAAATTTTGCGGAGATACATTACGCAGGATACTGTGTAGAGCTCTTTCATGTTTGCTAAATATCGCAAAAGAAACTACTTTACACTTAAATCTTATGACTATCCTGGATGGAAAAGGATTTGTTTTTCTATTACCTTTAGTGGTGAGAGATGCAATATTCAAACTACTCGTTCTGTCTGGATCGCACTAGAGGTATTTTCACTCTAAAGAGTGGATATGAAGAATGTCTAGAATCTCAAGGAATTGTCTTATCTAACAAATTCATTTAGGATCCTACTAAAAACAACATCAATGTTTTTCTTTTGAAATTCTTTCATCACGTTATTTCTCTTGTGGATAAATTGATAAAATTCCATAACACATTGCCTTAAAGATGTCCCTTTATTTTATAGAGAATAATTCCTTTCAAAATAGTTTATTTCTCCAATTTGGCTAAAATTTTCTATTCTTCATTTGGAGTGCATCTGTCAGAGGAAAGAAATCTACCCAGAACATGTTATTGAAGCTGACATGTTTCCCATTACCCTAAAAAATCAAGATTTTGAAATGAATCTTACCTTCTTATAGTAAATAGAAGTTCAACACAGATGCAACGATTGGCAAGGATATAGGTGCTGGAGGAGCTATTCTTCGCAACTCTACCGGTCATTATTGTGGCCTTCCCTCTTCTAGTGACTAATACTTGTTGAAGCTCAAGATATGCTCGAAGCTATTCCATACCTTGCAATGAAATTTCCAGATTTGAAGATTGAAATCAAAACTGACTGTGTCAGTCAATTTGGCAATGAAGATGGATTCATGAAATCAAACTTTTGAGAGAGCCTTTGCAAATAAATTGAAAAATGATGACCTCAAATGTAGTTGTTATGCTCTAGGTACCGTTGCCCAGAAGTCGTTCCTTGCTACTCGCCATTAATGGTCGTCCGCTGCCAACGGTCATGACTCGCCGGTTCCAGGAGTCCAACGTCCCTCCAACCTTGTTCGAATTTGGGCCCCAAAAATCGGAAAACTACTACCTAAAATATGAAACCTACAAAAGAAATTGAACCAAATAAAGAAAAGGCTGGGATGAATATTAAGCTAAGGCACTTACATTAAACCCATAACAATGGACTCAATAGTCAGGGCCTCTTTTAAAGCATCAACAGAAACCTTGGCATCAAGTTATGGAAGAAGTTTAATGTTTCATTCTCTATTTCTCCTCAAAACACACAACAATTGTGGTGGTATCTAATAGTCTAATAGCATTAGTCTAACTCGAAACGCGCAAAACAATGGTTTCTTGAGAAAAAGGGTAATAAAAGAATAAACCTTTTATAATCGATATGATTTGAAATGAGTGGTTGAAGAGGGCGGCACCATAGCAGCAGCGGTCTCGCAAGATTAAATCCCTTGTTTAATTAGTGTTCCTAAACAAATCAAATATAAAGAGAATCAACAGTATTATCAAGAAAACATGTGTCATCCCGCATTAATAAAAATGAGTTCATGCAGATTAAAGAAGATAAAATTGTGCAATAATAGGAAGTATTCCATTTACTTTGACTTTTCCAAAGTTGTTATGCCCACCAAATGCCATATGCAGACAACGAATCACAAAGACATCATAGTACTATCATAACATAACCTCTTTCTTTTGTTGGGTGTCCATTTTTCCAATCCCACTTGTAATTCAGAGTAAAAGCTTTCATGCTTACTACTCTTTTTCTCCATTTTATCCTTATTTTTATTACCTGCATTTACAATAGAATCACAATGTGGAGTAAATAGCTTAATTAAGAATTACAATAATTTTTACTTTGAAAGCACAACCCAGTCCCTGATTCACTGGTTTTACAAATTGGAATTAGACATTAATGATCCCAAAAATTAGGAGAGGGAGGTTACTGCGTAGTGCTACAATTAAGTATAGTTGGATAACATTTTTAAATAAGCACAGTGTATATTACCTATACTCAAGTCTGAAAAATAAGCGAGAAGAAAACCGGGCTCCAGTGCTCTGCCAACTGCAACCCAAAGCAGGCATTAGCCTTGTAAAGAAAAGTAAAACTAAAATTTAAACCTGAATAATAGGTAAAAGCAAAGGAAGATGATGGAAAATGGATGTGGCCATTAGAGCTTTCAAGAAAAAATCTTAGACTACGTTTTAGATGGAAATCAAACTGAATTTTTTTTGAAGTTGTGTACATACCCAGCCTGCCATAGCCTTCTTCCTAGCAAGATCCAATCGTTGATGGGGTTATGGTCAAAGAACTTACAGAGAATTTGCATTGATGGGGGTTATGGTCAAGACCCCTGAACAGATTCAACACCAAGATTAAAAAACAATAATCACTTATAACTGTGGAGTTTGAGAGTTGAGCGTCACAGTAAAGTCTACTACTAAAATATCCAATTTACTTGTGATACTTTAATGAAAGAAATCACGTGAAATGTTGGATTGTTTGTGATACATTGACTAAAAAATTCAATCCAGTTTTGGTCTTCAAACATTAGCATAAAGTAGGCACGCTTGAAAGTCCTTTAACCATAGCCATGCCATCTGAATCAGGGGCAAGCTCCCTTGCATTCAAGCTGCCATGTTTTGGTAATGGGTCTTCTTCCTATTCATGTTGTTTTTCAAAACAAAAGTCTCAAGAAAGAATTCAAAGTAAGGTACCCAAGATGAGTGAACAAATCAGTGAGTCTGCGTGATAATGAACAGTTCACGAAACCCCAAATCAGTGAGTCTGCATGAACGTGTAATGGAAATTAACCACATCATGTCAGAGTCAAGCAAAGAAGGGGTTGGGGGTTCAACAAAATGAAAACTCAGATGTGAGGCAAGAAAGAATGGGATGGAGATTTCATCTAGACAAGTTATAGAATTCAGCCAAGAGAGAATGGGAGGGAGATTATCATATCAGCACAAAACAGAGTGGGACCAAGAGAGAATTACAGCAACCCATCAATTTCTCGACATAGAGACATTTTCAATGCCTTGCTACATCTATCTTTGCACCGAAATATTAAAAGTATGTGATTTATTATTAAACTCGAAGTAGGCCTTAAGTGCAAGGACTGAGTAACAATCAACGACGTGAAGGTTTTTTTCTAACGTTATATCTCCATGATTAAATTTTTAAGTGCCAAGTTGTATCATTTTTTATGTTTAACTTTTAAGTGCAAAGAGATGAAAGCTTTATGGGCATAAATAAAGGCCAACATCTTTGAACGAATGTAATGTTTCAACTCTTAATAAACTAGAAAAGAGAAAAAAAGGGGACTTATTAAACAGAATTATACCAACCCATCAATCTCTCGACATCAGAGACATTTTCAATGCCTTGCTACATCTATCTTTGCACCGAATTATTAAAAGTATGTGACTTATTATTAAACCCGAAGAAGGCCTTAAGTGCAAAGACTGAGTAACGATCAACGTAGTGAAGGTTTTTTTCTAACGTTATATCTCCATGATTCAATCTACTTTCAAAAAAGCATCTAAATAACGTACTATCAAAATACAAAATCGCAAAAAAAACTGTAAATATGATACACATGGAGCATCATTAAGCATTTCTACACTGAATTTTTTTCTATACGCAACATTGACACAGTTTAAAAAGTCTTTTCCTGTTAAATGTGGCGGAGATACATTAAGCAGGATACTGTGTGGAGCTCTTTCCTGTTAAAGAAACTACTGGTGAGAGATGCAATATTCAAACTACTGGCTCTGTGTGGATCGCACTGGAGGTATTTTCACTCTAAAGAGTGGATATGAAGAATGTATAGAATCTCAAGGAATTGTCTTATCTAACAAATTCATTTAGGATCCTACTAAAAAACAGTATCAAAGTTTTTCTTTTGAAATTCTTTCATCACGTTATTTCTCTTGTGGATAAATTGATACGCATCATTAGTTGGATAACATTTTTTTCTATACGCATCAATCTGCGATCAATCCATCAATCTCTCGACATCAAAGACATTTTCAATGTCTTGCTACATCTTTCTTTGCACCGAATTATTAAAAGTATGTGACTTATTATTAAACCCGAAGAAGGCCTTAAGTCCAAAGACTGAGTAACGATCAACGCAGTGAAGGCTTTTTTCTAACGTTATATCTCCATGATTCAATCTACTTTCAAAAAAGCATCTAAATAACCTGATATCAAAATACAAAATCACAAAAAAGCTGTAAATATGATGCACAAAAAAGCTGGGTATTTTCACTCTAAAGAGTGGATATGAAGAATGTATAGAATCTCAAGGAATTGTCTTATCTAACAAATTCATTTAGGATCCTACTAAAAAACAACATCAAAGTTTTTCTTTTGAAATTATTTCATCACATTATTTCTCTTGTGGATAAATTCATAAAATTCAACAACACATTGCCTTCAAGATGTCCCTTTATTTTATAGAGAATAACTCCTTTCAAAATAGTTTATTTCTCCAATTTGGCTAAAATTTTCTATTCTTCATTTGGAGTGCATTTGTCAAAGGAAAGAAATCTATTCAGAACATGTTATTGAAGCTGACATCTTTCCCATTTACCCTAAAAAATCAAGATTCTGAAATGAATCTTACCTTCTTATGGTAAATAGAAGTTCAACACAGATGCAACGATTGGCAAGGATATAGCTGCTGGAGGAGCTATTCTTCGCAACTCTATTGGTCATTATTGTGGCCTTTCCTCTTCTAGTGACTAATACTTTCCTTGTTGAAGCTCAAGATATGCTCGTAGCTATTCCATACTTTGCCATGAAATATTTCCAGATTTGAAGAGTGAAATCAAAACTGACTGTGTCAGTCAATTTGGCAATGAAGATGGATTCATGAAATCAAACTTTTGAGAGAGCCTTTGCAAATAAATTGAAAACTGATGACCTCAAATGTAGTTGTTATGCTCTAGGTACCGTTGCCCAGAAGTCGTTCCTAGCTACTCGCCATTAATGGTCGTTCGCTGCCAACGGTCATGACTCACCGGTTCCAGGAGTCCAACATCCCTCCAACCTTGTCCAAATTTGGGCCCCAAAAATCTGAATACTATTACCTAAAATATGAAACCTACAAAAGAAATTGAGCCAAATAAAGAAAAGGCTGGGATGAATATTAAGCTAAGGCACTTACATTAAACCCATAACAATGGACTCAATAGTCAGGGCCTCTTGTAACGCCCTCAAACCGGCCTAGTTTTAAATAAATAAATATTATTTATTTATTGAGACTCATTGTTTTAAATAATAAATATTGAGATTTTGATCCCATTAGATGGACTCCAAAAGTTAATATTTTTTTAAAATATAAAAAGATGTTTTAATAACAGACCTCTCGACATTAATTAAATAAATTAATTAATAATTGGGGTGGATCCGGATGTTTAAAAATAAAGTTACTAGAAAAATTATTTGAACATGTCATTAAATTCGTCTTAACTGAATGATTCCAGAAATGCAAACGGATCTCAACTTGGACCCGTTTGGGGGGAAAAGCGCGTACCGTTCAGGTCAGATTTTAACATAACAGAGTAAAATAAATATGTGTAACCCCCATCATTCTCACGCCACCCACACCTCCAAACCATTCATTTTCCCTTACAACTAATACCTATTATTATTCTATTAATTTCCATTCAATATATTAGTCCCTTCCCTTCACCTCCTCCACCACATTTGTAACTCCCACACACACACACAACCCTCATCCTCCTTCACTTGTTTTCGGCCAAGACAACAGCAGCCAAGGGGGAAGTTTCCGTCGAGAAGACGAGGAGGTAGAAGAGAAGGAGGGCTACGCGAGAAGTTGTTCATTCATTCGTTCGTCCATTCGTCGCTCATTGTCATTCATCCGTTCAATTCACTTACGTTCCGTCAACCCCTTCATTTAGAGGTGAGTAGTTGTCCCCTCTAATTCTAGAACATTTAGTTATAATCTATGTCGTTATATCCATAGGAATATCGTACGCAACCTACGTAGAATATATGCATGTTCGTAGGTTAGCCAACAAAACGTTCACTACGTAAAACGTATTTATATTGGCCTAGAAATCACTAGTAATATATTCACAAGTGTTTGTATTATTGTTCTAAAAAGAATCAAGTTGTTAACTTTCCAGAAATCCCTTAACAAAGAGCTAGGGATACTCAAGTCCCAAGAAGCAGTGAACAAGATGCTTGAAACGACCAAACATAAGGGTCGCAAAGGACTTGGGTTTGACCTCTCTAGTTCCAAAAGGAAAGGGAAGACAACTTTCATCCCTCCTAAACCTACTGCCAAACCTAATAAGCAGAAAGGGAAGGAAAAGGAGAAACCAACAGAAGTTCCCAAAAAGGTAGTCCCTCCTAAGAACTATAGGAAGCTGGACAGACCTCAAAAAGGAAACAATTTCAGAAGAAAACCTTCTAACTCCCAGTATACACGAGGCTATACTCATTATGGGGAAGATAGAAGTTTTCCGAGAAATTCTGAGTGGAGAACTATGCCAAGATATAGTCATCCTTCACCCCAGAAACTATTTGTGCCACCTAAGTATGCTTATAACCAACACAGGTCACACTATGCACAACCTAGACAAAACTATAGGTCTTATCAACCTAGGTTTGCTAGGAGGAAACAGGAAATTGCACCTCCTGCACGTAGGAAATTTTATGCCTACAAGTATGATTACAATCCCAACAAGTTTAGAGCTGCAAGGAAAATTCCCTGCAACTTTAAACTTGATGTAGGGACACACACCATTAACCACTCCGGACCCAAACTGAAATGGGTTCCAAAATCTTCCTCCTCCTAATGCAGGAAGCCGCTAAGTACCCAGGTGTCTGGTACTTAGACAGTGGCTGCTCAAGACACATGACGGGTGATGCGAGCCTTTTGAGCAATCTAATTCCCTATGATGGTCCAAGAGTTACTTTTGGAGGAAGCAACGATTTTGGCCTTACTAAAGGGCTAGGAAATCTGGTGTACAAGGGACTAACCATCCAAACTGTATCTTATGTTGAAGGACTCAATTATAACCTTCTTAGCATAAGTCAGTTTTGTGATAAAGGTTACTCCTTGGAATTCTGCAAGGACATGGCATCTCTCAAGAACATCTCCACAAATGAAGTCATTCTCACGAGGAAGAGAATCAGAAACATTTATGAAGTGATATGGAACGATGTCAAGGAAGCATGTGTAATCAGCAAAGGTGACACTAACCTTCTATGGCTTTGGCATAAGAGGTTGAGTCATCTCAACTTCAAAACTCTCAACAAGCTATCCAAAGAAGGGTTAGTAGAAGGCCTTCCAAAAGCTGTATTCATGAAGGAAAGCATTTGTGATGCGTGCCAGAAAGCAAATCAAATCTACTTTCAAGGCAAAACCGGCACCCTTAACTACAAGGATATTAAGTCTTATCCACCAATAAGTCTAAGTGGAAAGAAATATGTCCTGATGGTAGTTGATGATTACTCAAGATACACGTGGACAATCTTCCTCAACAGCAAGAAGGAGACTCAAGGGAAACTCACCAACTGCATGAAGCTGATTCAAAACCAAGCAAGTCAGACCATTCAGAATATCAGATCTGACAAAGGCACAGAATTCCTGAATGAAATCATCATTCATTATTGTGAAGAAAACGGAATTCTTCATCAGGCATCCGCAGCAAGGACGCCTCAACAGAATGGTGTAGCGGATAGAAGGAACAGAACCCTAAAGGAAGCAGTGAGAACAATGCTAGCAGAAGCTTCCTTACCAAAGAGGTTCTGGGCTGAAGTTGTTAACACGGCTTGCTATACTCAAAATAGGAGTATGATTTATAAAAGGCACAACAAAACTCCCTATGAACTATGGAACCGGAGAAAGCCTATTATATCATATTTCCATATTTTTGGGAGCAAGTGCTTTGTGTTAAACAACGGGAAGAATCATCTGAACACTTTTGATGAGAAATCAGATGAAGCCATCTTCCTTGGATACTCTATGGTACGCAAGGCATTCAGAGTTTTTAACAAAAGAACCATGATCACTGAGGAGTCAATACATGTTATTTTTGATGAAAAACATGTGGTTGACAAACCATCAAAGCATGATCATGAGGTTCTGGATCTATCTGACAAGGATGAAGAAGTCAATGAAGGAGATAGAATGAAGCCTACGGAATTCATTCCATTCAGAAGTCTACCACTGAAGACTTCACAGAGAAATCCGGATTCAAACAGTGCTGAGCCTACCGGAAATCTTGGCCAGCCTTCCAATATTCCGGATCACTCAAACGGCGACAATTCTGGAAATGGCGACCCAGTGCCAATCCATCCGGAAACACCAACTTCTGTTCTTCAACCAGAAGCTGAACTAGATCAACCAGTCAATCCTAATCAACACAATCTTCGTTGGTTAAGGGATCATCCTCCCCAACAAGTCATTGGAGATATTCAATCTGGCGTTCGCACAACAAGTGCTCAGCAAAATCTAGAAACTATGCTTGCTTGTTTCATCTCACAAATGGAACCAAAGAATATTGAAGAAGCTCTAGCTGATTCTGATTGGATCAATGCAATGCAAGAAGAACTCAACCAATTTTCCAGAAATAACTCATCAACATGTCATTGGGACAAAGTGGGTCTTCCGGAACAAGATGGATGAAAACGGCGTTGTTATCAGAAACAAAGCCCGGTTGGTTGCCAAAGGATATTGTCAAGAAGAAGGTATAGATTTTGATGAAACCTTCGCTCCAGTTGCTAGTCTTGAAGCTATAAGGCTATTTCTAGCCTTTGCTGCTCATAAGGATTTCAAAGTCTATCAAATGGATGTCAAAAGTGCATTTCTCAACGGAAACCTCGAGGAAGAAGTTTATGTGGAACAACCTCCAGGATATGAGTTACACACTAAGGGAGATCAAGTGTATAGACTCAAAAAGGCGTTGTATGGACTCAAACATGCTCCGAGAGCTTGGTATGACACATTGTCTCAATTTCTTATAAACAATGGATTTATCAAAGGAGTCATTGACAAGACATTGTTCAAACTACAAGATGGAGAAGATCTCCTGTTAGTCCAAATCTATGTGGACGACATCATATTTGGCTCAACTAAAGAAGATCTCTGCACCAAGTTCTCAACCCTCATGCAAGGAAAATTTGAGATGAGCATGATGGGGGAACTCAACTACTTCCTTGGCCTTCAAATCAAACAGAGAAGTGAAGGGACTCTCATCAACCAAGCCAAGTACACAAGGGATCTTATCAAGAAATTCAAAGTTGACCAGAAGTCATCTGTCTCTGTCCCCATGAGTACATCCACCAAGCTTGATATGGATGTAGATGGAAAGGATGTAGATCAAACTCTCTACAGAGGAATTGTTGGATCTCTACTCTACCCTACTGCAAGCCGTCCGGATATCTCATATGCAGTAGGTGTTTGTGCCAGATTCCAGTCAAAGCCAAAAGAAAGTCATCTGATAGCAGCTAAAAGAATTCTTAGATACCTCAAAGGAACTCAGAACATGGGTTTGTGGTATGATAAGAGCAATTCGTTTGAGTTAGTGGGATACTCAGATTCTGACTTTGCCGGATGCAAAGTTGACCGGAAAAGTACATCTGGTACTTGTCAATTCATTGGTGGAAATCTTTTTTTTTGGTTCAGTAAGAAACAAAACTCCATTTCTACATCTACAGCAGAAGCAGAGTACATTGCTGCTGGTAGTTGTTGTGCTCAAATTCTGTGGCTGAAGCAACAACTACTGGACTATGGAGTCAAGACAAAGGAAGTGACAATCTTTTGTGAAAATCAAAGTGCTATAGCCATCTCACAAAATCCAGTGCACCATTCTCGCACTAAGCACATTGATGTCAAGCATCACTTCATCAGAGATCATGTGGAAAAGAAAGATATCAAAATTGAGTATATCTCAACTGAAGAACAACTGGCGGATATCTTCACTAAACCACTAAGTGAAGCCAAGTTCTCCGATTTGCTTCACAAAATTGGTCTAATTCAATTAGACTGAGTGTGGTACACGTGGCAGTTCATTTTCCACGTCTGTCAGAGTGGTGGGTGGGGACGTGGCCTTGGGAACAGTTAAAAACCCAATCGCCACTAGCCGCATAAATCACCCACATTAAACCCAATCGTCACTATAATCTGACCTCAACTGCCCACTCAGCCCACTCAAATTTTTCATCGTCTTCTTCACGAGAATCTTCTGATAAAATTCTCATGAACCCTAATTTCTTCAGATCTTCTCACTAAAATTTCCGAGAAAATGAAGATTGTTGGCGCTAATATCCATTTCCAGAAGTTGGAAGCCAAGTGCTCCTCATCAACGTTCTATCAATCCTATCTGGAGATGATTGCTGCTCAAGAGCTCTCCAAATTTCTTCATATGGAGATTCGATTCAAGTATGAGAACGAAGTTCTTGAATTCTATAAGAATGGAAAAGTCAAGACTATCAAATCGAAGAAAGATCCACAAAGGACGATTCAAGTCATCAATTCCACTGTTGGAGGGACAAAAGTGAAGCTGTCGTAGAAGAAATTGGGAGAAAAGCTTCACCTTCCCAATTCTGGAATTGAAATTGGGAGACTTCCAGCCAAGAATCTGGATTGGAGCATTATTGGAATTTCTGGGCAAAATCCCTCTGCCCAGCGAAGAAAGCTCATCTGAACAACGACTACAAGCTAGTCCTTGAACTGGTCATCGCATGCCTCGAATGTGGAACTGGAGGACATGCTGATGACATCACCCAAGAGAGGGCCTTCATCATCAATGCCCTCATTACCAAGTCTAAGGTAAATTGGGCTGCTCATTTCTTCAATTCCATCTCAAAGCACCTGGGAAAAAACCCAACCAGAAATACCTTTGTCAAGGTCTGTACATTAGACATATCTTGGGGTCCTTGGGTGCTGCTTCTGAAGGAAAGAAGTATGAAGCCAGATATTGGCTGTACTATCTGTCTTCCAAAGGGGAAAACAGAGCTGGTGCTAGCACAACTGCTGAGGAAAGTTCTTCAGACAATGTCCTTATCATGAGTCTGAACAAATCAGTAAAGAGGAAGCAAGTGGTGTATCCCTCTCCCAGTGCTGAAGCACCACAGAATCTTGCTCCAATCAATCTTGAAGAAGAAGAAGAATTCTCTGACCAAGGAGAACTACAAAGGAAAAAGAAGAGGAAGATCACCTCTCCCTCAACATCTGGACATGTCAATCCGGATGAGTTGAAGGAGAAGGAACCAACTGAGGAAACCTCTGCTCACAACCGGAGTCCTCAACAACTTGAAGAAGAAATTCCTCAAGCACAGAATTCTCCAACTTCCTCACAACCTCAAGTAGATGATGCTGAGAATCAATTCTGGCAGCTCTACTATTACTGGAGAGTTTGGAAAGTTGGAAATTCAGCAGAACAGTTGCTGAGTTGGGACCAGCAATTGAAGAATGAGAACATCATCAAGAAATGCTTAGGTGTGCCAGTCAACTATTGCTGTGAGCAAATCCTGGATGTTGACTGGGTATGGCAAAGGAACTATGAAGATTTGCATCTGGAACACATGGTCACCTCACCAATTTCAGAGTTTGAAGTGGATGATGAGGATCCTGCAGTATACAAACCAGTCCTCTCAAAAATCACAGAAGATCAGGTGGTTCTCACTTCTGAAGCACAGGCTAACTTGGAAACAACAGCTGAGGATTTCCAAATATTTCCGGAAGCCTCATCTGCCTTTGAAACTGTTCCACCTGAAGCTGAAGTCTCTACTCCACAAAAACAGAACCAGGAAGGATCAAATGAAGAATTCCAGCAGCTTCTCCATTCTGAAGTTTTAGAGATTCTCACAAATCCTTGTGAGATCACCAATCCTACTGAAACAGTGATCCCGGAGAAGTCCACAAAAAAAACTGGAGATGTCCAAAACTCCAGAAACAAATGAAGCTCAAGAAGAGCAAGCTGTAGAAGCCCAGAGAAGCTCTGCAGAAGCTGAGAAGGAAACTCAAATGGCAGAACTGGAGGCCTCCAAATCTCCAGTAGCCATTTTTGAAGGACAGAATGAAGCTGAAGAAAGAGACTCCCTCTCTCGGGATATATCAAATTTCACACTTGGGGAAGCAGAAGAAGAATCTGAAAGGACCCTGAAAATCAATAATGAAGAAGATGTACAAGATGATGCTGAATCTCTTCCTATGCAACTCTTCCAAAGAACTCTCTCTTCTCATCAGGTAACCAACTTCCATTTCCATAGCTCTTCCATTCCTACTCTTCTGGATGAGGTACCGGAAATATGGACAAAGAAGGTCCAAGGGCTGATTGACTCAGCCCTAGCATCTCAACATGCCTCCTTTAGGCAAGAGATAGAGCAGATGGAAGCCAGGCACAACAAACTGATTGAGAAATCCGAAGAAACACACTGCTCCAATCTCAAGGAGATAAGCAAATCAGTGGATAAAACTCTAGAGATCTTATCTCTATTGAGTAACAATGTGAGCAACACGATGGAGACATATGCATCTGTCAGTTATCTTCAACTCAAGGAGGCTAACAACATCAGAGAGCAAATAGCAAATGTTACTATTCAGACTTCTTACCACAAATTCTGGAAATCGCAAGATGGAAGTGGTTCTTAAACAACACAGTCCATCCTTGATTCCAGAGCTCCCGATTGCAGTCAAAGAAGGAGAAGTCTCTTACATTCCTACGCATCTAAACCTGAATGATATAGTCCTTGAAGCTCAGAGAAGCAATCCGGAAAACTCAACACAGCGCTTATCCAGATCCGGATTGGATGGAACAGAGGCTGTAGGAACAATTGCTGCTCACTTCTCAAATGAAAATCAAACAGAGGAGAGACGGAACAACATAAGGCGCATCAAAGAACTATGTGGAAACATGCAAGGCATCAGGGAGATTGCCGAATCTTCAAAGCGCAAGAAGCACTGAAGGTTTTTTTCATCAAATCAGGGGGAAAGTATGTGAAAACATTAATTTGCTTTGATGAAAACACCTTCTTGTTTAAACATTGCTCTATTGGTTTAAACATTGCCTTAATATTTCTCTTAATTGTGCTCACTATGCTTGATTATACCTAATTCAAGTATGTTTTTGAGATTTATTCCAAGCGCATACATTCAGGGGGAATGTAATTCAGGGGGAACTTAACTAGTTTTTGGCTAACAATTGTTTTTGGCAAAGAATTATTGATAAGCTCTAAGCAATGGAAGACGGATATCTCAGTTTTGGGACTAAAATTGGAAATCTCCGATTCAGGTACTTTACAAAATCTGCCTTCTTAAACTAACCTTCAGTCCTTAATTCATTTCCAACAAGCTCTAAAAGTACTGGTCCTTAGGATTTTTAGATTGTACAGGACTTTGGAAAAATAGTACCACTTTTCTTTTAAAAATAAAATTCATATTTGTTTTGGTACTACCTCGTCCTAAGTAGAAATTAGAACAATAGGGAATGCAAAATGATAGCTTTATTTTGGGCCTTGAGAACCCAATAGGAATAATTTCCCTTTAGTACATAGCTTTCTTTTCTTTTTGGGCCACTCTTTTGGGCTTAGCCAAATTGAAACAGTTATGGTTCTCAAACCAAACGAAATTGATTTTCAAATTGGAACAGTTTCAATTCATTGGTAATTGGTAAAAGATTCCTTCTACTTATCAACTTCTTGGAAGTTGAAACTCTTTTACTCTCACCGTTCCATCTACCCAATTAATGGAACCCGTGAACCTCCCCTCTCTCTACCTCCTCTCTTATTTAAATCAAGATATCTCAATCCATTCCTATCACAAACAGCTCTTTCAATATGAAAAATCTTCAAACTCACTGTCTAAGAAACACACCAAGAAAAATATTCTCAATGGAGAAATTTTTCTTTCTCACCCTCATAGACGGCAATGGAAGAAGCCTATTGAGAAGAAAAGACTTTCAAGGTCTATGGTGAGAATCTCGGCAGTAGAGAAGGTTTATGGTGAAAATCTCGTATTTTTCAGGATTACACCATACACCTTCTCTGGAACAACACTCTCTCTATCTTTCTTCTTATTTTGAGCGATGTGTTGCTTCCAAGATCTTAAATATCCACTTTGGATATTAAAGATCTATCAAACGCAACGCCAACCGCTCCGCCAAGTAGAATTTGCTGAAGCTGAAAACGGTCAATGGCGGAAGAGATCACAAAATCTCAAGACAAGACTTGGTTTAGGAATTATTGTAATTTGAATTGTATTTGTTTAAGAGTTTTTGTTAACAAGCTGTATATTATGAGAAACTAAAAGAGAGTTACAAAATTAGTTCTCAGTACAGCGACCGGAACTCTTAAACACTTGTTTGTCATCATCAAAAAGGGGGAAATTGTTGGGAAAAATATCATAGATTTTGATGATGATGTATTTAGAATGTAATAGGGACCTTAGGTCTCCCCAGATATTCAATGTAATTTTTAGAAATATTGTTAAAACCAAGTTCTTGAGATTTCCCATAAAGTTGTGATATTTCTTAAAACGGTTTGATGCCTGAAGACTTAATCAAATTCAGAAATTTTGGAAATTGGATATCTTGATCGGAAATATCAGAGACAAGTAAGGATTTCTCAAAGCAGACAAAAATCCTCCTATCTGGAATATAACATGAGAACCGGATGTCTCGTTACAACCCGCTGAAGGTTGTTAGAATAAGTGCCCTTCACTAGAGGGGGGGGGGTGAATAGTGAGGCACGAGAATGTTTATAAATTTTCGCGGAATAAAAATCGCAGGGATAAAGTAAAGAGCGGAATAAAAAGGAGTAAAGGGAGCACACCAAGATTTACCCTGGTTCACCACAACTTGTGGCTAATCCAGCCTCCCGAGAGACTCTCTCGAGCTACACTACTTCCGTTAAGCTTACGGGTGCT